CACTTATACTGCAGTCTAGGTCTGTGTCTGTTGCCCTCACCAGCTCCCCGAGTGGGCAGAGGCGTTGCTGTCTTGCTCATTGATGTATCCCCATGCCTGGAACAGTGCTAGACATATTTAATGCTGATTAAATAACCTCAACTGGAGATAAGATCACAAGTCCGAATTCCAGACCTGGTATAAAAGTGGCTTCTTGCCCTTCCTGGATAAGAGCTCTGCCTCCCCAGAACAGCACTGGGTGGGAAAGGTCTCTCCCAAGGTGGGGGGCTGCCACAGCATGTTCAAGGCTGACAGCAACAGCAAGGCTTTGCATGAGGCTTCCAAGGCCAATGTTCGCTCACCACAGTGGTGTTTTCTAGGCTGGCCCAGCAGTCAGGAGACCTGGGCTCTAGTCTCTTTTTTTGAGACAGAGTCTTGCTTTGTTGCCCAAGCTAGAGTGAGTGCCGTGGCGTCAGCCTAGCTCATAGCAACCTCAAATTCCTGGGCTCAAGCAATCCTCCTGCCTCAGACTCCCAAGTATCTGGGACTACAGGCATGCGCCACCATGCCCGGCTAATTTTTTCTATATATGCTAGTTGGCCAATTAATTTCTTTCTATTTATAGTAGAGACAGGGTCTCGCTCTTGCTCAGGCTGGTTTCAAACTCCTGACCTCAAGCAATCCGCCTGCCTTGGCCTCCCAGAGTGCTAGGATTACAGTGAGCTCTAGTCTTAATTAGCCCCATCCACATGGTGTGAACTTGGGCACACCCTGGCAGGTCTGTGAGTCTGCTTCCCTACCCGAAAGGTATGAGGTTAAAAGCCCTTTGGCTCTAAACTCTATGATGGCTTATTCATTTGGTTTCCACCTCCTTGTACAGTAAGTAGAAACTACAGTTTCTTTACCCCCATTTTGCAAATGGGGGTGAAAAGGCTCAAAGGAATTAACCAGCAGGCCAGAGGTGAGCCTTAAGTGAGACAGACAATAAACCAAGAGAAGTGAAAAAAGAGAGAACTTTTGTTAGGGCCTAGGGCCGATAGATAGCCAATAATCAGCCATTAGCTTTGGTATTATGCTTGCTTGATTGCTTAGGAGAGTGGGAAATTTTCAGTTGACCCTTATCTGACTCCGCACCCGCCATCCTGACTCTGCTAGTGTGATTAATTTTAGAAACTAAGGAGAAGGGCGGTGGTGCATGGCACAACTGCCCACAAAATAGAGCCTCAAGGCCAGGATCAAAGCGCCCTGGACCCCTGAGGCGCCTGACATGACTTCGTGTGCCCAGTGAAATGCGCTCTGGCTTAGATCACAGGATGCAGGATGTACTGCAGCTAAGATTGATGTTGTCCCTACGTAAAGATACTTCAGAGGCATCCTCTCTGCTAAATCTTAGCTGCAGCCGGTGACTCCTACAAAACCCATCTCAAGGCCCCAACGCCCCCATTGTGCTAAAACAAGATAAGATTGTAAGATTGATGCTTTCTCTGCTTCTGTAAAAGTGCTTGCTAATCAGTTTTAGAGTGTGCTTTTGCCTTTAAAAGGAGGCTGTTTTCCCCTTCTCATCACTACTTTCTGTGCCTGCCTCTCTGCAGGACAGGAGTAGTCCTGGCCAGTAAATAAAGACTCACAATTTGGCCCACTTCAGTTTCTAAGGTCGTCTTCTCTCGCACTTCGGACTATAACACTTTCCTTTAAAAAAAAAAAAAAAGTCCTGTTTATCTTTTGTACAAGTAACCCATGCCCACTATACAAAAATTAGAAAATAGCAACAAGCTTTAGGCATCTCGGCAGTTGTAAGACCTTATCATGGTCTGAGAAACCCACACAATTTATTTCCCTTATAGCCGCAGTTCTCAGCCCACTTTGGATTTAATTGGCTTGGAGTGGGACCCAGGTAGTGGCATGTTTTCTAAAAAAATGCTTTTACATGATTACAAGGTACAGCTGAGAATGGAAACCGTGGTCTTTCGTCATTGCTCCCGCCCAGCTCTTCCTTGTCTCCCATCTCTGTCACTGTTCTTACATGCCTGCTGAATTTGACCAAAATCATTTCCTAAGTACAAGTCTCATCTAAGGCGGCATTTTCTACCTTTCCAGGAGCTCGGAGAGCCCACTGCAGAGGAGGGCCTCCCTTAGTCAGTAGGTGTCCTTGGCTTTGACCGAAAGGCTTCTGTGTACATTGCCGGCGTGAGTGTGTGGTGACATCGCCTGGTGGCCACCATTGCACGTTCTGCACTGCCCCTCCTAGAGAGCCAGGCATTCTGCTCCAGTGACACTTCCCCACAAAGCGTCTGCAATGTGACAGCCCAGTTGGGGGGAAACTTCCAGTCCTCAAATTTTCAGAGTGCCTTTCATCTCCCCAATAATCTCCCCCCCTCTCAGAACTTTTTCTACAAATGAAAGATATAGGGGGGAAAATAGTAAAGAATTTTTATTTCATGCTTCTGCCTTTACAGATATTTTTATACCCAGTAATAGTGATCACTAATGTTTGGGGCTTATTTTAAGCTAGACATTGTTCCAAGAGGCACAACAACCTTATGGTCTAAAAGTGTCCCATTTTACATATGAAGAAACTGAGGCACACAGAGGTTAAGTAAATTGCCTAGGACAAACAGCTAGCCAAGTAATAGTGGGCACTTGAATCCAAGCTGTTTGACTCCACAAAGGGCCTCTTTCTTAGCCATTGTGACCTAGTGCCACCTATAGTAACAGTGGTGTGGACTGAATTGGTCAAGAGTGAAAATACTGAATGAGCACATAAAGAAAGTTACAGGATGTACTTAAAAGTTGGAAGAGGAAGTGCAATGCAACACAATGCACGTGAGGATGTTGAGTGAGTTAATGTATAGTGAGTTAATGTTCTGGAGGGTATTGAAGATGGCTGCTTTCAGACGTGAGGGAATACCACTAATGTCCTCCAAAGGAACAGACCTTGAGCCACCTCCCCAAAAGGAAAGCTCTTTGCCTAATGCAAAGAGGCTACCTAGAGTGGCACAGTACAACAGGGGAAGAATTGGCTGATATGGAAATAGAACCCACCCATCGTCCTGACAACCTAAATAAAATAAATGACTGAAGCAAAAAACCTCAATCAATGGAGGTTTATTAAGCCAAAGTTGAGGACTTACCAAGGAAAAGCACAAACGACAGACAAACCCGTGGCTGTTTTTCTGAAGGGGAATTTGGGAGTTTCAGCATTTAAAGACATACAGAAAGAAAAAAAAAGGGGCAGGGGGGTAGTCAGACAAAATGGTTACATTCTTGTGAGACCCAGGAGAGCCTGCATTTTATGGAAGATAAGGCAAATGTTAGAGGAGGAAAAGAGGAGTGAAGGAAGCATCAGTAATATAGATGTCCCTGGGTAGATGGAAGAATGTCTGATCCTGTCTTATCTCTGTTCTGCATCTATGAAGACAAACTTTTAATTCGGAACAGACTTTATATATAACCTGCAGATCTGCAGTTACAATTTGCATGTCCTTGCTCATGAGAGGTCAGCAAGGAATACCAATAATGAATGATGGGGGGGGCACTCTTTTACAGGTGCCTGAGACCTTCACCTTTTTTGCATAAGGAGTTGGGGGGAAGGGGTCCTGAGATTTTTTTTTTTTTACACCCCACAGGCTTGCCATATTACTAATATTCAGCCTCGTTGGCATCTTGCTCTACCAGCTTCAGTGGGTAAAGCTGCCTCAGCCTTCCCTGCTGTTTCCATCGAAATGACTTACAGGGCTCAGAAGGGCATGACCAGGAATGCCGTCTTCAAGATAGGTGGTGAGTGTGGCACTGTTCCTCCTCCACCGACCTGCCATCATCAGCTGGGAGTATGTGGCCAAAAGAAGTATTCTGCCCTGGGGGAGTGCTATGCTGAGTTCTTCTACAGCAGGCACTTCTAATGACAGCCTCCACCACTGAATCTTTACCCCTTCCCCAGTGTCACTTACTTCAACTTGAGCATCTATATCAATATTCACAAGCGCACCTCCCTGAGGAATGACATTGCTCCCAGCCACGACGGCTTGGAGATGAACATCCAAGAGAGAAAAAAGAAACATGGCATATTTTTTGTTAAACCAGGTGAGAAGAGGAACAGGAAGAGACCAGGGCCTCTCCCCCAGGTACAAAGGGCTTTCCCTGGACATCTCCAGGACTCAAGATTTACCACTTATTGCAGGTGGGCCTCAGAGCCAAAGTAGCACTGCGGTGGCAGAACACTACAGGGCCAGCAGGAGCATCTGCAATAGCTGGAGGCAGCTGAAGCTCTCCAGCACTGTGGCCAGTCGCCTGTGGCTCTCCTAGGACAAGCAAGAGGCCAGCTCACTGGCCATCATCATGTGTGCTTGTCCTGTGCTGGGCTCCCTACACTCTGCTCATGGTCATCTGAGCTGCCGGCCATAGGACATGTGTTCAGCACTTTCTCTATGAACCATCCTGCTGGCTCCTCTAGCTGAATTTGGTTAACCTGTCAACGGAAAAAAGCCAAACTCTGTAAAATAATTTTAAAGAGATTTATTCTGAGCCAAATTTGAGGACCATGACCTTGGGAGCCACTCCCAAGAGGCCTTGAGAAGTGGACTCACTGTGACTGGGGTACAGTTTGGTTTTTATACATTTTAGTGAGAATGGGGTTACAGGTGAAGTCATAAATTAATGTGTGGGAGGCATACATTGCTTTGGCCTAAAAAGGTGGGACATCTGGGGGGGGCTTATAGGTTATAGGTGGGTTTAAAGATTCTTTGGATTATAATTGGTTAAAGACATGAAGCTTTGTCTAAAGGCTTGGAATGTTTTAACATAAGGAGCTGTTATCAAGAGAAGCCACTGGACATAGATTTGTTGTGTCAATTGAGGACAAGCAGGTGTGTCTTGCATACCCTTAGGCCTGTTAATGGGTTACAAAGGAAGTCTCTAAGAAGGGAGGAGGGCATGATAAGGCAAGTCTGACCTCCTTCCTCCTGGCAGGCAATTTTGCTTTAGTATATTCCTTTGGCCACGAGGGGGTCCATTCAGTGTGAACCTTAAAATTTTATTTTAGTTCATAATTCTCTCTTTTGACCAAGATCTGTCAGAGGCAGCATCTATGGCCAAACTTTCATTTTGTCCCATCCGTTGCCAGGGTGGTGTGGCTCCCTGCCCTGGGTCCAACTAGTCCCTCGGTGGAACCTTTGTAGCCAAGAGGACTGAAGAGCTAAACTGGGGCTTATAGCCAATTAAATAAGCCAAACAGGACCAGAGGTAGACAGGCACTCATTAATACTCTAAAATCTTTTAGATGATGTAAGAGTAAAATGCAAAATATCAAAGACAAAGCTACAAAACTCATTTACCTACAAGTATTGAGGTACTATATTTTTGGGTTTAGTGGTAGACTTGCAGCAAATATAAGCATCATTAACATTTAAGCTAAGGGAAGTTACTAATTTATACTAAGGTGGCTGATAAGGAAAAGTATTCCATTTAGTATTCTTTTGGGCTTTTGTGTGTCCCTCTTTGATCTGGAGGTCTAAACTAATTCCATCCCTCAGAATTGGCCCTTACAATCTGGCACGCCCCGTCTTCCGCAATATTCCCTGGGCTTAGAGGGAGGACATTTGAACAGGGCTTTGGCAGATTCCATGGTTTTAAGGTCCCAGAGATCAGGTAAACTTGCTATTTACTTAAAATTTGTCAGGACTCTGGAAAACAAAACAAAAGAATTAGGAATGTTTTAAATTAAAGAGTCTTTTTATGAAAATTTAGCTCTATCTCAGGAGGTTTGAGTTAGCTATACTCATGGTCATATTAGTTTTTAATTAAAGTTAAAGTCCTGGAAGTTTGTTTTGTTTTAGTCCAGTGGTATATAATCTCCAAAGTTATCAGAAACCAGTATTCAAGTGGATTTGTCAGTCCTTTCCATTACATTTACTTGAAGAAGCCAACTTTGGACTTAGCCAGAAAGAACTACTTTCTGAGATGAATCAAAGTAAAATAATTTAAAAGATGATAAAACTTGACCAGCCATGGTTAGAGACAGTTGACAAACCAAATTGGTTATTTTGTAACATATAGGAATTTATATAATAACCACAATTATTACTGATAACACATACCAAGACATGTCAATATTTTACAATACTAGAATATATTAATAACATATTTATACAAGTATAGCCCAAAGAAAGTTAAACACCATTTCATATTTGACAATGTTTCCTGGATGGTTTTGACGCATCAAAGAAATCTAATGTCTCTCTTAGACTTTTAGTGATCCTAATGTATAAAAAGCTAGTTTAAGGCCAAAAGTCTGGATTTAGAATTTAAGTTTTGGAAAGGTTGTTAAATACCAAAGGCTTAAACATTTGTTTATATACAATTTATAAACTGTAAGGCTGGTGGCATGGGCCCCCTCCCCTCCCTAGATGGAAAAAGAAAACGCTTAGTGACCTGACCTGCCAAGGACAAACTGCCAGGCCCACTGAGAGGAACCACACCCAGATCTCCACCTGGATTCGCTCCTGGATTCCACAAATACCTCCAGCCCCTCCTATTTCTCAACCACCATCCAAGGTCACAATAGAGAATCCCAGCTCTTCCCGCCACAAGTCCCTAGTCCCGCCCAAAGGGTATAAAAGGCCTCAGCTCCTTCCTTCAAACTGCGGTGACCCCCCCTTGGGGCCCCAGAACCTGGTCCACAAGTGTATAATAAAGCCACATGGTTTGGCCCCCCACTCTTTCTCTTTCTGTGTCTCTTTTCTTTTCGCCACCGCCGAAAAACCTTACATAAACTACTATAAAATAATTTATTTAACCAAGAGAGATAGCCATCAAAAGATTCTAAAGGTGATAAAGTTATATGGGTATAAATACAAATCCTTTTAAACTTTAGTTTTTTTAGTTAGTCAAAACCTAATAAGCCAGGCACGGTGGCTCACACCTGTAATCCTAGCACTCTGGGAGGCCAAGGCGGGCAGGTTGCTTGAGGTCAGGAGTTCGAAACCAGCCTGAGCAAGAGCGAGACCCCCGTCTCTACTATAAATAGAAAGAAATAATTGCCCAACTAATATATATAGAAAGAATTAGCCGGCCATGGTGGCGCATGCCTGTAGTCCCAGCCACTTGGGAGGCTGAGGCAGGAGGATTGCTTGAGCCCAGAAGTTTGAGGTTACTGTGAGCTAGGCTAACGCCGAGGCACTCGTTCTAGCCTGGGCAACAAAGCAAGATTCTGTCTCAAAAAAAAAAAAAGAATGGTATGAACCTTCTATAACCTTTAACTTTTATATCCACTTAATTTTTTAATGATTTACATATTGAATAAGTAGTTTTAAAAACTAATAAATTAAACAAAATTATCTTTTAACAAACCTAATACTTATGTCTTATAACATTTTTATTAAAAGAATTTTTGTATAGAGTTGCTTTCCTTTTATCTAGAAGTTTTAATTACATGTACTAATCATGTCAACTCTTAGAAAGACCTAGGAAGTTAAAGTAACTTCGAACTGTTAGTCACAAATTTTACTAGTATTACTAAATATAAAGCTAAGATATTAAGGTATAAGCTTAAACTTATGTTTAAGAACTAATGTGCTAGTATTCCACCTTGTAAATGATCCAGATATTTTATGATTATCTTTGTTAACATAATGACTTCAAGATTTAAATTACATGAAAACTTTATTTGTATTTATTGTATTTGTATTTACCTAATTTATCTATTTTAGCAGTTCATTTAGATCTTAGCTATTAAAAGTTTAAGTTACTTTTCTTTTATTAACCTTTTTTTTTTTGAGACAGAGTCTCTCACTTTGTTGCCCAGGCTAGAGTAAGTGCCGTGGCGTCAGCCTGGCTCACAGCAACCTCAAACTCCTGGGCTCAGCGATCCTCCTGCCTCAGCTTCCCAAGTAGCTGGGACTACAGGCATGGGCCACCACACCCGGCTAATTTTTTCTATATATATATTAGTTGGCCAATTAATTTCTTTCTAATTTTATAGTAGAGACGGGGTCTTGCTCTTGCTCAGGCTGGTTTCCCACTCCTGACCTCGAGCAATCCGCCCGCCTCGGCCTCCCAGAGTGCTAAGATTACAGGCGTGAGCCACCGCGCCCGCGCCCGGCCTGTCATTCACTTTTTATCTTAAAATAAATTGCTATACAAAAATTAATAATTTAGAAATTTTTTCTAGGCAAAAATTTTGTTACAGCAACATAATGTACACATAACCAGCTAGCTTGTAAAGAGTAGGACAAAAATGGACAAGACCAAGGTAAAACCAAAGCTTTCAATTTAAGTTCTTTAACTACATACAACTTTTAGGGCAACTTTGAATCCCTAACAGTACTGTTAATATTAGATGATAGTTACACCTAATATTAGATGATAGGTACACCTAATATTAGATGATAGGTACACCTAATATTAGATGATAGGTACACCTTTTGTGTACCTTTCTACAGGCATTTAATCAGTGGAAGTAAAACTACATTTGCATTTTAAACTACATTTAAAAGACCAAAACAAAAACGTTTTCATAAACCTTTGACGATTAAATTTGGTTTTTTGCTCTACTTGGTGTTTTATTTATTCTAATTTGCTTACACTTAGGTACATTTGCATTTTTACCTTAAAGTTAAATACGTAAGTATTGTAAGTATTTTTGTTGGTAACTCAGATTTAGTGATTATCATTTGACAAAATACTAAATTTACATTACTTATCAAAAATCACACATTATTTTGTCTTTGGCTGAGTTTATATTTTTATAACCTTTATATCAAATCTTTACACCTCAAGAACATAAAAATGCCCAGTAAAACCCAGGCAAAAACAAATGTATACTGACAATTTTGAAAGCATTTTTACTATTACATTACTACTAACATCTTTTTATTTTTTAATAATAGCACAGCTTATTTACCAAAGATTACTAAATTCACATGAAGCATTTGGGTTTAATTTATGAGCGCTCCCTTAATTTTAAGCCAGTCCGGAACCACATAAGCACAAACACATAATACAGGCGAAGACATAAAACATACCCAAACATATACACTCTCTCACACACATACACCCACACAAAGTTCTAATAGATTTTACCCTAGAACTCTAGCCATGAAATGGCAACTCAAACTCACCAGTCTGTAAGAGACAGCTGGATTTACATTTCTTCTGATGAGACTGGAACTTGTTCGCAAGGCAAACTTTAGTTGCCCTGACAGATGGCCTAATTAGGCCTGTGGATCAAAGTTTTGGGGAAAGCAGTTTCCATGGCAGTGTGATTAAAAAAAAACAAAACGGGGAGGGGGAGGATTAAAAAACAACAACAACAAAAAATACCTTTACCTCTCCCCCCCTTTTTTCTTCAGTTCAAAGAAGTTTTTCAATGTTAACATTTTAGCTAGAACTGGCTGCAGGGTCTCTAGGTAGCCTTTCAATTGTAAATACTGTAAACAATGAGTTATCTTAACATCAGTAGAAAAAGTTTGCAGGTTTTAGAATAGCCAGCAAAGAAGAGAGAGAAATAAGATTGAGACATTTAATAGTGCTAGGTCGACCATTTCAGCTCTGAATTTTCCTTGAAGTAATTTTGCCCTTTCATAAAAACTTGTGCACAAGAATTAGCTATAACCAGCTGGAGTCCTAGAAAACCTGGCATGCCTTTGAATCTTTTCATTTACAAAAGTACTTGCAAGTAGAGAGAGGCGCCATAAACCAACTGGAGTGCCTAACAGGAGTCATTATCCTTGCTCTTCCTGGTTCTTAAAGAATTTGTTTCTCATTTTTTTTTCAAGGAATTGAACTGTGGTCTAGGGTTTGGTGTCCTGGATCAGAGTGTGCTGCCTGTGGGTGGGGCTCCTCAATGTTTCACCATTGAGTCGGTCCCGCCCTCATAAGTGTCTCAGTTTCTCTCTTTGGGGGCCGACTACCCCTGAGAGGGCTCAAAACAAAACACCGAGTGATCAGCTCTTATATGCGTTTCCTGAAGGAGCCTTCTTTTAATTAATTTGTTGGGGGGTTCCCTATGCGGCTACTTGTGTCTCAGGGAATCACCCCAGGCAACTCTCATTCAGGGCCCTGGTCGCCCAGGGCTGCCTTAGGTCTGGGAGGAGAAAGCTGCCCCTTATCTTCCGAGCTGAGAAACTCAGTCTCTCATTTATCTACAAACAGGACAGTTGGGTTCCTTGCGCAAATACGTAGACAAGCCAATTGAAACTAGTTTTGAGAGGAAAAAAGGCAACGGAGAAAGCCCTTTAGAGTGCACCTCCAAACCTAAATTAGGATCCCAAACAACAATTCCTAGGAAAAGAACCAGCTCAGAATAAACCAAGACCAAAACGGGAGGTCCGGATCTCAGGAGGACTTACCAGTCCCGCTGAGGAGAAGCTCGGAGTCGGAGGCCTCAAAGGGCCATGCCGGTGCCTGGCGCCAAGTCCGCGCTGCTCCTCAGGCGGTCCTGAGTCTTCTCTGAGATCCTGCCGGCTACGCCAACATTGTCAACAGAAAAAAACTCTGCAAAATAATTTTAAAGAGATTTATTCTGAGCCAAATTTGAGGACCATGACCCGGAGCCACTGCCAAGAGGCCTTGATCAGTGGACTTGCTGTGACTGGGTTATAGTTTGGTTTTTATACATTTTAGTGAGAAAGGGGTTACAGGTAAAGTCATAAATTAATATGTGGGAGGCATACATTGGTTTGGCCTAAAAAGGTGGGACATCTGGGGGGGGCTTATAGGTTATAGGTGGGTTTAAAGATTCTTTGGACTGTAATTGGTTAAAGACATGAAGCTTTGTCTAAAGGCTTGGAATGTTTTAACATAAGGAGCTGTTATCAGAGAGAAGCCACTGGACATAGATTTGTTGTGTCAATTGAGGGCCTGCAGGTGTGTCTTGCATACCCTTGGGCCTGTTAATGGGTTACAAAGGAAGTCTCTAAGAAGGGAGGGGGCATGATAAGGCAAGTCTGACCTCCTTCCTCCTGGCAGGCAATTTTGCTTTAGTATATTCCTTTGGCCACGAGGGGGTCCATTCAGTCAGCTGGTGGGGGGGTGAGCCTTACAATTTTATTTTGGTTCACAAACCCCATTCTGTATCCACTCTGCCACCTGAGTTTCAGAAAAACATTCATCAACTGCTGTGCCCCGGAACCGCCAAGACCCACCTGCATAGGTACATATGATGGAAATGTCTCCTGTACCCGGTCGCCTAAACCCCTCATACTCCATGAAGTAAAGGTAGTCATAATGCTTCTGTAGACCACTGCCGCCCACTTCACCTTTGCCACAGGGAATCATGGAACCCACATAAGAAACAAGTGAAACAAGTTCCTACAAGTATCTTTAAAATGTTGTCTTTGGAATTGTCTAGGGCTTTGGCATTCAAAGAATGGTCCCTGGATCAGCAGCATGGGGTTTACCTGTGGGCTTATTAGAAATGGAATCTCTGCCCCCCCCCCCGTTCCCCCCCATTTGCTGAGTTCTAGAATCCACATTTTAACAAGACCCCTGAATGATTAGTGTGTTTAGTAAAGTTTAAGAAGCATTGGTCCAGGGGATGTATAGGAAGATAAAAATGGTTGAGAAAAATGATTTTGTAATACCTTATCTCCTGTGGAGACATCCTATTTTAAAACCACTACAGCTCAAGTTTATGTTAATTTTACCAAATTTATACACATGTCCTATTCAATTCATTTTATTCCTTGATAAGTCTCACCAGTTTAAGTATATTCAACCCTTTTGTTTGTACTAATATATGACAGTATTCAATCACCTTTGTGTGTATATAATTAAAGGTCACAGGCTTGAATAAAGAATGGTAGAAGCCAATTTTACAAAACATACCAGATATTACATTCTCCATTTACAGAAACATACCAGACAAAAGTACTCCTTTCAAATGCAAAGATGCGCCAGCCTAGGTAGACATTTCTGATGCCTCCAGAGATTTTGGAAAGGTGGACCCAGTTTTGTTGTACACTGCAGGGTGACCTAGAGGGGTGGATAGTAGTAAGATCTACCCCAGCCCACTTCCAAATGATTAGTTTTGAATAACAAGCCAGGAAATGTTTTTCTTTAATCACACTCAAGTGTGCACCAAATGTGTGTGTTGGCAACTGAATCAGCGTCTGTTGCCCATCCCCAGGACATCCCCATAGGAAGGCCTCAGTCTCCAGATTTCCCCACCCTTACATTACATGGTCTGGAATTCCCACCATCAAAGACAATTCTGTCAGGAAATCCTTTCAACTCCCTTCTGCTTGAGCCTTATTACCTTCCATTCTCAGAATGAGATAGCAAATGTAATGAAAACCCCTCTGGAATCTAGACTTTGTGTTTAAATCCCCTCTCACTGGCTATGATGGTACGTTTATTCTTTGTGGTGTGTCATATTCTCAATGGCTCTGAGAGTTGCACATGATCTGTGCTACAGCCACTTGTCATTCTCCTTTGAAGTACGTACACTACATGCCCACCCTCTTTTAGCTGCAAATAGCAATTTACAGCCTAGCCAGGGCCCTTAATGGGAAGGGAGGTATCATTAACCTGCTGACCTTAGGGCTTAAGAACCAGTCAGAAGCATGAATTTCCAGGTGAAGACACAATCATCTGGGCTCTCAGAATCACCGGTTTTGAGTGGAGGCAGGAAAGAGAAGATAGGAAGGCCTAACACAGCAGGCATCTCTCATCCAACTCATATCTTCCTCTTAGATTTGTCCTCCTGTGACTGACCCCTCATCATGGAATTTAATGCCATTCAGCACCAAACCTGTCCTGGTTCAGTGCTGATATCCGGTTGTGAAGGATTTTCCCCCCATCTATTAAGGATAGGTATTTTTTGGTTTTTTTTTGAGACAGTCTCACTCTGCTGGCCGGGCTAGAGTGCCATGGTGTCAGCCTAGCTCACAGCAACCTCAAACTCTTGGCCTCAAGGGATCCTTCTGCCTCAGCCTCCCGAGTAGCTGGGACTACAGGCATGTACCACCATGCCCGACTAATTTTTTCTATATATTTTTAGTTGGCCAATTAATTTCTTTCTATTTTTAGTAGAGACAGGGTCTCATTCTTGCTAAGGCTGGTCTCCAACTCCTGACCTTGAGTGATCCACCCACCTCGGCCTCCCAGAGTGCTAGGATTATAGGCATGAGCCACCTCACTGGCCAAGGACAGGTACTTTTTTGTAAGATACAATAAAAATTACTAGAAAAAGGGTGGTAGGAGACCTACAAAACACAAACCCAAATTTTATCATTACATTTAATAGATGTAAAATTACTTTATCAAATTGCTACAAAGTTTTTAAATGCTAAGTCAATTTTTTAAAATAATTCATTACAGACAAGCAAGAGTTTAATTTGCTCAGTCCATGGATCATACCTGTTAAATATGGGGCTGCAGGTCAAGTATTAGCCTCACAAGGCTAAATGGAAAATTGTATTTGAAGTTCCATGAAAATGTACATAACCCTCTCCAGGACTTCCCCAACACCCAGTCACCAAAAGCCCTTCTTCAGTGCTCTCCTGGACATGCCCTTATCATATTCTGTAACCAGGGGTCTGTCTTCACACCACACTAAAATTCCTGAAACTAGGGACGGTATCTTGTTCACCTTTATATTCAGTGCCTATCTGGGATATAGTAGGTGCTCAATTTTTTGTTTGTTTGTTTGTTTTTTGAGACAGAGTCTGGCTAGAGTGCCATGGTGTCAGCCTAGCTCACAGCAACCTCAAACTCCTGGGCTCAGGCAATCCTCCTACCTCAGCCTCCCAGGTAGCTGGGACTACAGGCATGTGCTGCCATGCCCGGCTAATTTATATATATGTGTGTATATATAAATATATATACATATTTTTTAGTTGTCCAGCTAATTTCTATTTTTTTTAGTAGAGACGGCGTCTCGCTCTTGCTCAGGCTGGTCTCTAACTCATGAACTCAAACAATACACCCACCTCAGCCTTCCAGAATGCTAGGATTACAGGTGTGAGCTACCACGCCCAGCTGGTGCTCAGTTTTTACTGAATAAAGAAATCTGTATTGTAAGGAGGCATGGGCAATATATGTAACCTTAACATTTGGACCCCCATAATATGCTAAAATAAATTTAAAAAAAAGAAATCTGTATTAGCAGCACTTTGATACCCTTTGTTTTTTAAATCTGGTCTCTTTACCACAACCCAGAAAATGAGATACTTTACACCCTGTACCTCTGATCCGTCCTCTCCAATTGAGCTCAAATGCAAGTATTCTCAAGTCATCTATTTTTTACTTTTCCAGCTACATTTTACATAACATGTAAATAAAATGGACAAGTCAACCTTTAATCCATAATCAAGTTTA